TATGCAAAAAAAAAATGAAACTACTTATGCCAGACTGCCAATGCTGTGACCTGGACCACCTGCTATGAAATAGGTGGTCACAGTTGGAGACAGTTACCTTTTGTTTTATTCCTGAAACCAGAATCAAAATCTCCATTCAGTAGGTTAGGCTTATTTCCATTCTAAAAACAGATGGTTGGAGAGAACAGCCCAAATAAAGGCAAAAAAGAAAGGGAGATCTGAATTTGGGACTCACCCTTTTGAACCCTGTGAAACCACTGGAGTCTGAGGAACACAGTGCATTCATGCTGAGCCCAAGAGGGAAGGCAGCATGTTCAGGGTTGAGAGGCCCCTCTGAATCCTGCTGACTGTAACAGATATGTCTACCTAAAAGAAGAAACCTAGGTAAAATTAATATAAGTAGAGGGTCTATTTGGGCCAAATTTGAAGACTGTAACCTAGGAAACACCTCCAACTCACTTTAGAGAATAAAGAACATGCTTGAGCTTTTAAGGAAAAAGGACAAACCAGGGGAGGGGATGATTACAAAAGTTTTCATCAGGAATTCTCATTGCTTTACAAAAATAACACTGATGAGTAACCTTTATATATTATTTAGCTATAGAGTATGACTTATGGTTTCAACATACGGCATTGTTACATTAATTTGTATCAGTCAGTCTAGAGTCCACATGGCAAGCAGCCTCAAGAGATGATGACTTAACTGAAGGAGGGAAGCGGGACATGACTGCTTTCTCATGCCAGTGCCTCTCTGGGCCTGGTAATTGAAAGGAGCATCACATTCCTCAGATTAAAAAGGTTTTTGTGCAATTTATATTACAATACATATGTACCCAGAATTTATTTAATTACCTTTTGGTTTTTCCTGCTGTAATCTAAGGATAGCACTATGGTCTCTAAACCTAACACCTGCTCAGTACATAAGTGGTAATGAACTTTTCTTTTCATTTCCATCTTAGCTTTGTGGGTGCCAAAATCAGCACATCTCTCCTTTCATCCTTTTTATTTTCCTATTTTGGGATATTGCCTCTGAAAGCTATGTCTTCAGTTTTTTTTCTGGTTGATAAGAGGAAAAGAAGGAAAAGGATGAGACCTCTAGGCAGCAGCCTCTCCCTGGGATGGCCCTGAGGACAAACAATGTGCCCTGTCATCAGAGACGAATGAAAGGTGCATAGTCATGTCCACTGCTCACTCAGTCATGCCTGCACATGCAGTCGCAAGAGGAGTCCACAATTGAGTGACCTGATAATTGAAGACATTTTTTATAAAACCAATATCATCATAAACTTAATGAAATTTAAAATTTTTATACCATTAGATTTCATAAAACTGTCAAAATAATTCTCTCACATCATCTAAAATGGAGCATACATTTGAATTTTCCCAAATTCCTCTAAAACCATTTTTCTGTGTACCAAATTTGGTTTTAATTTATCTCTAAACATTTGATAATATTTTTCTAAGACACATCTGTAGCTCGAGAAAATTTTTGGATGTTTTAAAATTGTGAATTCACTGTCCTAAAATAGTTTAGGGATATTCACTTTATTCTTTTCATGTTGGGTGAGTTCTGGTAACTTGTGCTTTTCAAAGAGTTTTTGGTCCATTTTATCTATGTTGTCAGGTGTGGAGTTGTTCATAATATCTCTTATGATCCTTTGGTGTCTGCAGGGTCTATAGTGATTGCCTTTGTTTCATCCTGATATTTTAAAATGTGCCATTTCTTTTTTCTTCTTTATCAGCCTTGCTATAATTTTTTCCCATTTTCTTTCCTTTCAAAGGATCAACTGTTCTGTTGTATTGTTTTTATGTTTTCATTTATTTTCCGCTGTCTTCTCTTTTTTACTAATTCTGATCTCCAGCTTGCTTCAGGTTTATTTTGCTCTCCTTCTTGTAGTTTCTTGAAGTGAGCATTTTTATTATTGAATTGAGACTTTTTCTCTTTTCTGTGTCATTTTTTTTTGGCACATTCTATGGCTGGGGGCTCATATTAGCGGGTGGGTGTCCCAGGTGCCTGGCCTCAGGGCTGTTCCTGAGTCCTCAGGTCCCTAGTCAGTCTGCCTTCCTTTTTCACCTTGGAAGTCCTCCTATGCCTGCTTCTCATGATATTTCTAGAGTTCCTAGTTGTATTTCTCAAGGAGGAGCAGGAAGAGATGAATCTGCACCATCTGTCTGAAGTTGCATTTACTTCTTAGACTTCCATCCACCCACTGGAGCTCCAACGAGGGCTGCCATTTTTGGGTGCTTCCAGTGTGCTGGACGTAACATTCTTGCTCATCTGCTATGGCTGGAAATGCAATTTAGGTTGTCTAGGCTGGTAGGCAATGTGCAAGATGCCTTATGTGATGTGCTGCACCAGCAGCGTGGCAGCCTAGTGAGACTACACACCAGGGTGTGGTGATTATTGTCATTTGACCCACAGTCATTTTGCAGTTTAGCATTCTTTGTTCAAGTAATACTCAGAGCCAGGTTTATGCAAAATTTACTTTTTCTTTTTTACTTTGTCTTTTGGTTTGGGAGGTTAGTTATAGAGATAATCAGTTATGCTGCTGCAGCTGTCCCCAGAAACCCAGAAGACGGCTGATGATTTGTAACTGCTTTGACCCAAACATTCCCTTCCACATCTCAGGGTCCCACAACTTCCCCATCAGGGGCCTCTCCTAGCACAGCAGTCCTTCGAAGCTGAGATTCAGCCACCTCTGCGCTTCTGCTTCTCTTATACTGATGCCTAGCCCAGTCTTCTATTCTTTCCGCCCTCTGGCTCCTTGAGGTAACAATCTATACTGCTGCCAAGAAGTCCTCTGGTTTTCACACTGAGCCTTAACTTGTGATCAGTTACTCTTAGCTTCTCATTGTCTTTCCCCGAAGAACTGATGCCCAGCAACAACCATCAAACACCTGAGTCCTCATAAGTACCATTTCCCAATTCAGCTTCAAATGCCTGATGCCAAAGAATTTCCTTCCCACTTCACTGCTAGTGAAAGTTTTACTAGTTGCACCGTAGCTGCAACTCAGGGCCACCCCAGCTCCACTCACTACCAGCCCTGGGGTCTTCATTGTCAGCTGGTAAGTGAGTGGTCAGGTTCCAAACTTGCATTTTAGAGTCTGCTTTTCAGACCATTTCCATTGTCGGTTTTGCTAGGAGGACAACTGGAGGTGGATACAGGAATGCAGGAAGCACCCTAGAGTGTTGTCAGGGTCTACATGCCTGAGGGAGGGAGGCACAAATGCAGGACCACGGAGGTGCTGAGCCGCAGCGCAGACAGGACAAAGACCCAGCTGCTTCTACACAGGAGCCAAGGGCCAAGAGGCTCCCTCAGAGTTTTTTTTAATTGAGGAGAGAGGCATGGCCATTCTGTCTTCAATTCAGCCAATCTTTCTTATGGTCTGCCCCCTAGAAGGAGGGGTGAACTTGGAGAATGTAACTCTCCTGAAGGGAGACCAAGTCCCAGAGAGCCACCCAGCTGGGAACTGCTGGCCTCCACCATTCCAGCCACAGATGCTGAGATCTCCATACCTTCCTTAAGGACCCACCAGCACCATTTTATTTCCCAGAAAACATATATGAAAACGAAAGTAAATATATCATCTTCGTTTGTTTGCTTTAAACAGCAAAAAAAAAAAAAAAAAAAAAAAAAAAAAAAAAAAAAGAAAGAAAAAATTTCTCATAGTAAAAATGCAAAGAATCCAAATGTGTGCTTCCTCAGATCGGACTGTCTGTCCAACAGAGAGATTTCAGATGGCACCTGCTCTGGGGTTGAGGTAAGCTTGATGTCTGAGGCCCTCCCAAGCATGAGAGTCATGCCAGGGTGTTTTCTAGCCAGCACAGTTCATTAGGTCCAGCCCCTCTAGGGCTTCCTCAGGTCTTGAGAACATGGGGTTATCCCCCAACCTTGGAATTAAGCAGGGCGGCCTGCAGCTCTCTCTGAAGCTATCCTCAAGTAACTGAAAAGCATGTTAGCTGCTTGCTGCATGTAGAATCCAATCAATGGGAACCAGGTCTGATACAAAGAACGTGAATTTATTCCGAAGCCTGCTTGGGGAAGGGGCACAAAGTGTCCTGCCTTTAAATGTGCCGCTTCCCCTTTGAAGCAGAGAGCAGATACTTTTATGAGGTGATGGGGACGGGAGCAAGGCAAGGCGGCCCTCTGCTAGCCTGGTGACTTAGCTACCAGACAGTTGAGTTGGCACCATCCTGTGCAGAAGTAAGTTGTAAAAGTAGCCAAGCTGGCATCCTTTCCATATGCCCTCCTGGTGGATCAAAGTCAGGAGGATACCCGAGGAGGTGACATTTCCAGTGTGTCACCCCTTCAGGAAAGATCTGTCTTGGAGCACACAGAAAAAGTTGCCCTGCTGGGAATGTCTGGTGAGGGAAAGGTGAAAGTTGTATTTGCATTTCTGAAGGGCTAAGTAGGAAACCAGGAGCAGGGGAGAAGGGGAAAGAGAAAAAAGAGAAAATCAACTACCTCTCAGCAAGCTGGGGGTACTCAGTTATCGTCTTGCCACCTGCTTGCCCTTTCATAATTGTTCCTATGACGCTGGGAGGATGGACTTGTCTTGTTCAAAAGGATACAGTCTCAGGAATCATCCTAACGGACATAATGATGGGCTTCCCTAGGTTTGGATATGAGTAACCTTGTGACCCTCCCTAAATTCTCTGAGCTTCAATTTCCCCTTCAGAATGTAATAATAATCCCTGCCCCACTGCCCTGTGAGGATTAAGTGAGGAACGCAGGTGCCACACGTATAAATACCTGAGTACATATTCTCTCCACCTCTTCCCTCCAGGAGGACAGCCTGGCAGCCTGGGACAGGGTAAGGGAATGAGGAACCTCTTTCCCTGGCTTCTGCCTTGGCAGAGGGGCAGCCCAGGCAGGATGCAATTTCAAAAGCTTTAGAGCATTGACAGTCCCAGGTAGCCTCAGATGGGGTAAGTGGGATTCTATGGAATGGCCTCCTGGGTAGCCCCCTCATAACTTTTCCTGTCTCCTGATTTCCAGGCCTGGCACTGGCTCCTACAGCTCCATCCTTCATAGCGCTCCTCCTGGGCCCCAAGGTGCTGCTGGTGGTTTGTGTCTCTGTCATCTATGTCCATTGGAAGCAGAAGGCCTGACTGTAAGGGTGGGGGATGCAGGCCTGAGCAAGGGCTGTCCCGGAAGGGCAAGGCCAAAAGAAGAACCCAGCCAACATATGCAGCATCAGGGTCAGTGGAGTTTAGAGAAGGTGACAGAGCTCCCTCGGCATCCTCCAGGGTCTCAGAGAACCCCCTCAGAAGGACCCAACCTCCAGGAAGTGTGTGAGTGCTTAAGGAGGTGAGCTATAGCAAGGGCGTTCACAGGTTTTTACAGCACCCCAGGGGTTCCATGAGGAGGCAGGACGGGGGGCCTGAACCATGGGCAACTGAGTGGGTGGTCCCTTGCAGGCCATCTCTAGATTATTTGATGCTGAGCTCCATGGACCCAAAGGAATCCCCGCTATAGAGTCATGTTGAGAAACCGCAGATGGGCAGCTCCTAGGGCTGTACCCATTCTGATCCTCTGTGTGCCTGAGTGGAAGCAATGAGGGAAGGGGCATCAGGACTGGGAAGGAGGGCTGAGCTGGCAGAGTCCTATCTCAGAGCTGCCTGTCCACTTGCAACAGGCATCCCAGAAGGAGATCAGCACTGCGAATACACCAGGCTCCCAGGAAATGTTTCTTAAATGATAAGCAGATGATTAAATATAGACATGTTACCCACAGCTCCTTCCCTGCTCCCCGGCCACAAGGGATCCCCAGTCTCTGCTGCCTCTTTCCTTCCTTAAAGGGGTCCCATGAGAAGGCGCTGGTGAGAAGCCTCCCCGGACTCAGCTCCAAATGCCCCCCGTCCCGGGACATCTCCCTGCCCACAAGCTCCTGTTGCTCCTTTGCAGAGTCCCGATGCTCTAGAGCAGAGTCTTCATTCATGGTCCTGAACAGAGGCCATGGGATGGGGCTCTGGGGAGTGGCTCACGACACCTCCCTAGGATGTGGGAAACACTCCAAATTTAAACACATCAGGAACCCTCTCCTCCATTGTCTTGGACTGTCCATAAGCCACAAACTCCAGTCCAGATTCTCCAGAGTTATTCTGCCTTCTGGATTCCTGCCTACCCAATTCCCCAGCCTTGTTGAGATTCACTGTTGCCTCCTCAATACAAATTAACCCCAATCCTGGTTTTAAGCAAAAAAAAAAAAGGAAAAAAAGTTCCTTCGTCTTTGTTTAAGCCTATGATATAGTTTGGATATTTTTCCCCTACAAATCTCAATGTCAAATTTCATCCCCTATGTTGGAGGTGGGGTCACAGGGTGGAGTCATCATGAATGACTTCGTGCTGTCTTGGTCTATTAGTACCTACAAGTTCTGATTGTTTAAAAGAGCCTAGGAGCTCCCTCTTCTCTCTTTCTCCTCTTTCCTGTCTCCCATGTTATGCCAACTCCACCTCACTGTCTGCTATGAGTAGAAGCATTCTGAGGCCCTCCGATTTTATCCATGCTGCACCAAGTCAACCTAAAGTTGAAAGTGAATTCTGCTCGTGATTGCCACAAACAATTTTTACTCAAAAAGCATCTATGTTTTAGCAGATCTTCATTGAAAGACTGGAGTTCCTTGAGAACGCCTTGACAGTTTCTTCCTTGGGAAGGCACCTTGCTGCTCCAAGCACAGATCTGCGATCTTCCTGACACGATTGCATCGTTTCTGAGTCCTGTATTCCAAACTGTGATGTTTTGGAGGCATGAAATGTTATGGCTCATACCTTCCAAGCCAATTGCTATTTTCATGAGAAGAAATATTCCTCTTTCAACTGCTGGTATGTTTTACTTTGAATTATATTTCTTCAGCTATTAATATTTCTTTTTTTGCTTTGTACACAATACACTTTTATATAAATATGTAGGTAAACATAACATTTTGCACCTTCAAATTTATCATTCAATAAAGAAGCTTATTAAAATCAGCAAAACATCTTAAATATATTTTAACAATGTACAAATGTATTCACAACATAATCTGCTGATTAAGAGACTCCACCAAGTTTATACCTACAACACAATTTACAGATGCCTACAATAGTTTGTACATTTATTTAGTTTATAATAACATCTATTGCTTTAAGAAATATCATTCATACAAATGCGTGATATGTAACATTCTCATTATAGTAAGAAAGAATATAGGTTTATAAAACAAAGTGTCTTTACTCATTATGTGAAGTATGTAAATGATTATTCTCACTTTTTAGTCATAAAACATAGATATCATTAGGTCAAAGAGCATTGAAGAGCTCCAGGAGGTTCCAAAGAAAAATCTGGTTAGCCTTTTACACAATAAATACAACAGCACCAATCTCTTGGTATTCCTGAAACATAAACTATGATGATTTCATTTATGTTAATTGGGCCTTAAGTAAATGACTTCTTACAAATGAAAATAAACAAAATTTTAGAAACTAGATAGTACCAATGGCCTAAACTTGGTTTTTACTTGTTATTGTATTTCTAAGAAATTTTACCATGAAGTACGTATTAAAAAATAACAATTATTTCTAACTTACCCATAAGCCAAAGTGCTCACTCATACCATGGAAACAAAACTTGCTTCTGAAAATAATCTAAAGAAATAATCTGTAAACACCTAGAGCTTTGAAATGGACTAAGAACATCCTATGCTCTATGGATCAAATTGCAAAGGCCTTCATTACATATATCAATAAACACACTTTGGTTAATTTGGGATATATTGATATTGCATGACCATGTGCCTACCTCTGTATACCATTAACCAAATGTTGACGTTTATAGTGACAACACAGTTTTGAGCCCCAAGTGCTGGAAAGAAAATAAAAACAATATGAAAAGTATTTTCTTTGTTTTAAATAAAATTAAGTGGGAAAAAAAAGCCAATGCTTTCTGTTGCAATGTAAACTGAGATCTAAAAGTTTCAGAATCGAGAATCTCTTAGGTTTTCCCCCAACATAATAAAACATATAAACTTCCTCCCTCTATTTGAGAAGTCTCATCACATCCAGTGTTCAACCACTTTACTCTGAAGGGGAAGTGGTTGAACTTCTCCTTCAGAATAAAGTGGTTGACATTCAATCACTTTCCTTCAGAGTAAAGTGGTTGAACACTGGATGCCATTAGTCTGTTCTGTATTAGTCTGTTCTCACACTACTATAAAGAGCTTTATTAGTCTGTTCTCATACTACTGTAAAGAACTACCTGAGGCTGGGTGCAGTAGCTCAGTCTTGTAATCCCAGCACTTTGGGAGAGTGAGGTGGGCAGAGCATCTAAGATCAGGAGTTCAAGACCAGCCTGGCCAACATGGGGAAATCCCATCTCTACTAAAATATGAAAATTACCCAGGCATGAAGGTGGGTGCCTATAATCCCAGCTACTCAGGAGGCTGAGGTGGGAGAATTGCTTGAACCTGGAAGGCAGAGAGGTTGCAGTGGGCCAAGATTGTGCCGTTGAATTCCAGCCTGGGTGACAGAGCCATCTCAAAACAAAACAACAAAAAAAACTACCTGAGACTGGGTAATTTATAAGGAAAAGAGGCATAATTGATTCACAGTTCTGCATGACTGGGGAGCCCTGAGGAAACTTACAATCATGGTGGAAGAGGAAGGGGAAGGAGGGAACATTTCACATGGCGGCAGGAGAGAGAAAGAGCAAGGATGAACTGTCAAACACTTTTACACCATCAGATTTTGTGATAACTCACTCACTATCATGAGAACATGGGGGAACCACTCCCGTGATCCAATCACTTCCCACCAGGTCCCTCCCTTGACAAATGGGGATTATAATTCGAGATGAGATTTGTGTGTGGACGCAGAGCCCAATCAAACCAGGCACTAAAGGCAAATATCACTCAAAGCACTTGACAGGCAACAAGTCCCAATCAGAACACTCTTTATTCAGCCTGTAAGACAGTTTTACCCTCTTGACAGCGTGCCTCCCTGGACTCAAATTCCTAAAGGCCCTTTCTATCTTCAGCAGTGTGATTCCACCAACATAGTCCAATAATTTCTCTACCAGTGACATTCTTCACTGCCCAAAAGTCACCTGACAATGAGGTCATTGTCAACACACAGGCAAGAAAGCTACTGCTGGGCAGTTCACAGAGAAGATAGATGGCGATTGCACTGACTCCAAAGAATTAAAGGAAAAGTGGTGCCACTGGATGTCTGACTTTGGATTACGTTGGTCTATTAGTTGTCTCCCATTCTAAATCAGTGAAATATCTGCAGTGTCATCGTCACTGTGGCAGCAGAGCCAGCCCTGGGCACTGCCACTTCTCTGCACGCCTGCAGCTCCTCACCTGTTTCTGGCAACTTTTTTTTTTGACATGTTTTGTGAGATATCCTGTGTTATTCCTATATTTATACCTATTTACATTACTCTGTTGGGTGTGTCTCTGTGCTGGATCCTAAGTGATTGCCCCACATGATTCCCCAACTCACTAACTTACTACTTATGTGTATATAGTCACCTAGTCAACCTATTACATTTTTTAATGCTGTCCTCTCTAATTATGTTTTCATTTGCAAAGTATCTTTTTTGTTATTTTCCAATATACCTGTACTTCATGCCTGCCTATTTCTGCTTCATACATCCCTGATGTATTTTTATGGATTTACTTCCCTTTTGCTATCTTTATAAAGTTACTACGTATACTAATTTTAAAGATCTTTTTGTATTTTATTTTGTCATATGTCCTCAGTTGTGAAGTTTTTTTGATTGCTGTTTTTTGACATATTGTTGTTCTTGGATTTGTTAGGTATCTCTCATGGATCTGCTGTTCCCCAAATCTTTAGCTATTGCTGTTTGCACTGCCGTCTTGCCAGGAGTAATGCCCCACCCCTCGTGATCAATTGTTGTCAGGACCTCATGGAGCATGGCACCTGCCACAGCCTCACTGTGGGGTCTGTTCCTAATTGAGGCCATAGCTTATTTTCTGCTTCTTCCTAAGAGATGTCTCTTTTTTCCTGTGAGAGATTTTATACTGCAAACATTGAAAGTAAAGTCTGTGGAGTGTGGCAACCTCTGTTCTAGCTCTAAAAGCTAAGTGATCTTGAGCAAATCCATAACTCTCTGTGAGACTCAGGTTTTCTCACCTGTAGAAGGAGGTAGGTTAGTGGCAGTTCTTACCTAGCACTGATGAGTTAATGAGATAACTGACATAAAATGCTTGACACCATATCTGGGGCACAGGACATCTCCAATAAATGATAGGTGCTCCTATTCCTTCATGTCACATAGAGACTATTGTCTTGTTTTTAAGTGTAATTTGACATGGATTAATACAATTTTATACTTTTTCATTTTCATTTTTGTGGGTGTGAAGTAGGAGGGGAAGATTTCACCCTGTGCACATTTGTCACATTGAACAGAACTTTGAATGAAAATATAATAACCTTTACAATTTCATTTGACAATTACTGATATCAGATGAAGCATCTAAAACCCAGCATGTGACAGAGAGACTTCCAGACAGGTCTTTCTTAATCATAGATGACGCAAGAGAAACCATTTCTCCTAACAAGGTGGCTGACTGTGGCAGGAAAGCAGTGAACTCTTCCCATAAAAAAACAAACTGTAGCCACATTTTTTGGTTAAAATTATGAGTCAGGCATTCATTATGGTTTACATTGTTTCTACCACATCTCTACAAGGTGTATGTTGGTGCATGTTATAACCTCTATTTACACGCAATCAAAATCAAAGTAAAACTCAGAGAAGTCAAGTGTCTTCTTGAAAGTCACACAGCTGGAAATTGTGAAAGAACAAATTAATCTGTGGATTATACGGAGCAGGATGCAGAGAATCCAAGTGAAAGCAATTGATACTGTATAATCTGGGTCTCACGAGACCTGGGTTCCTGGAAGAAAGCCACGCCATGCAGTAGGGATCCATTCAAAAGCATCATTTGAGTTTCACATCTTCAACTGGCACCATGAGTTTCAGTAATGACCCACTGGGCTTCAGGCATGGTCCAGTCATTATTGTCTTTAATCTCCATGATAACAGTGCAATGACACAATTATAACCCCCAGTTTAGAGAACAAAACTGAGCATAGGTGGCCCCACTGACTTCCCCAACTCCTCAGCACATCCTCTTAGTCAGCGCATTTATACTTACTCTCCCCCCATTTCCCATCTGAACACAGTGAATGAAGTAGGTCTTCCGTGCAGAACAAAGGGTATTAAAGTTGATGTGATGGCCTCAGAAACCTGTCTGCCATATTCTCCCGAATCATAAACCTATCCTATTTTTAAAAACCACATTCCTCACTTCACTCCATTCACCCCACGAAATGCATGCTCACTAAACTAAAACTACTCTCTCTCCTGGAAGAATTCGGGAAATGATTCCCTCTGCCGGATGCAGGCAAGTGAAAGTGTCAAAGTCCAGATTAGGCTGAATTTGGGTGACGTTTCACCAGTCATATCAATAAAAGGTTAGAATAAGGAATCATTTCAGGAGCAGACTTGTTTCCTCTTCAACATCAAGAGCGTCCTGTGTTCCCTCCTCCTGCCCCCTGCTGAGTAGCACTTGGTTGAGACTGGCACAGAACAAAGCCACAAGCCAACCACATCCTAGTGTCTTGAGATGGAGCATGTAGGGCACAGCTCACAACCACAGATCTTCTTGGCACAAGACCCCCAACTGGCAAATCACCAAGAAGATCTGAAATAGGGAGGGGCACCATGTGGAGATAACTCAGGCCTCAGTTGAAGAGGAAGCATTATTTCAGATAAGCCTGTCTGATTCTCCTGCAAATGGAGCATGAGTAACCGTGTTTTGTAGCTGCCTGCCATGCCTGATTTGTATGTCATAATCTAGAAGCAAGATTGTGATATCCCCCACCATCATAGCCACTTCCTCTTGAATGAAGGAGGAAGGGCTTGTCTTCTCTCTTCAGAGCAGAGCCTGGCATCTCCCCAGCACAGACGTTTGAACAGAGCAGGCTCCTGAGGTCTCCAGGATGCCTAACCCAGCCTCCTGGCCCCACCCTCCTGGTCCTCTCCTGCTGCTGACTTTACTGCTGGGACTCACAGGTGAGCACTGCCTTGGGCTAGAACCCTTTCCCTTGGCCTGCATGGCCAGGCTCTGCCCCTGGACTTCCAGAAATTCCAAACAACCACAAGTGCTACCAAGGAAGGCCAAAGATCGGGCCTAAGAGCAGGAAATCGGGGAGCTGAGTGCTTTCTCTGTGGATCAGCAGCCGGCTACCAGAGGTTTGGAGTCACAGGATGATTGAATCACCACCACAATTACTTACATTTTGATAATATTTCATTTGACAAACACAGGACAATCATCACTTAAATCTTTACCAGTCTTGAGACTCTGGGGCCAAACAACCTACCCAAGGACAGAGCGAGCTCAGAGACAGCCTGAGAAGGCTGTGTGGCTCCAGGCCCAGCCTTCTGTAACCACCACCCAGAGGAAGTGAAGTCTGAAATGGCGCCTGCTTGAGTAGGGCAGGGGTGCAGTGTTTCCTGGGGATGTTTAGCCACTGTCCTTCTTAAGGGTGCTCCTTACTCTGTCCTGTGTCCCTCCGTGCTCCTCCCTCCCCTGTGACCTGATTCTTACCACCCATTTCTCTGTGGCTTCCTCCTCTTTAAGCAGTGATGCATTTGCTGCTTACTGGGTCCATATTCCTTTCCTAGGGCTTCCATAACAAAGTGTTGCAGGCTGGGAGGTGAAAGCTATGGCGCTGCTAACAATAGCAAAGACCTGGAACCAACCCAAATGCCCATCAATGATAGGCTAGATAAAGAAAATGTGGCACATTTACACCATGGAATACTATGCAGCCATAAAAAAGGATGAGTTCACGTCCTTTGTAGGGCCGTAGATGAATCAGGAAACCATCATTCTCAGCAAACTGACACAGGAACAGAAAACCAAACACCCCATGTTCTCACTCATAAGTGGGTGTTGAACAGTGAGAACACATGGACACAGGGAGGGGAATATCACACACTGGGGCCTGTTGAGGGGTCGGGGGGTAGGGGAGGGATAGCAGGGGGTGTGGAGACTGGGGAGGGATAACATTAGGAGAAATACCTAATGTAGGTGACAGAGGGATGGATGCAGCATGCCATCATGGCTTGTTTATACCTATGTAACAAACCTGCATGATCTGCCCATGTACGCCAGAGCTTAGAGTATAATTTAAAACAAAATACAATCTTATGTTACAGGCCAGGTTGGGAGAGTTAAATGAGACAATACATGTAGTGTGCTGAGCTCAAGACTGCTCCTTATGTGCGCCCAGTCAATTAAAGCCTTTGATAAACATGGAGAAACATGCAAGATCAAGTCAGGATAAATACATGACTGTTTTGTCCTCTTTTCAGGAGTGGCAGGTGAGGAGGAGCTGCAGGTGATGCAGCCTGAGAAGTCTGTGTCAGTCGCAGCTGGAGAGACGGCCACTCTGCTCTGCACTGTGACCTCCCTGGTCCCTGTGGGGCCCACTGCATGGTTCAGAGGAGCTGGACCAGGCCGGGAATTAATCTACACTCAAAAAGAAGGCTACTTCCCCCGGGTAACAACTGTTGCAGACCAGACAAAGAGAAACAACATGGACCATTCCATCCGCATCAGTAACATCACCCCAGCAGATGCCGGCACCTACTACTGTGTGAAATTCCGGAAAGGGAGCCCTGATACGGAGTTGAAGTCTGGACCAGGCACGGAGCTGTCTGTTCGGGGTGAGTACAGTGTGGGCCTCCTTCGTCCCCTGGTTTGTGACAATAAGTCAATAATAACACCCTCCATTCTTTGAGCAATGACCAGGTGTGGTGGTGGGTGCTCATTTTTATGATCTGTTGTCAGCCCTGTCTACAGATCACATGAGTTGAGGCTTAGAGATGTCATGGTATCGCTCGAGGCTCCCTGTCTTGTAAATGATGGGAATGATTGTGTCCCTAGTCTGTGACTCTACAGCTCTTGTCTTTCTGAATCTGACCCAGCCCTTTGGTTCCATAGATGAGGGAACTGACAAGTTGAGTGACTTGCCCAGGCACAGGGCTGGATCTTGCCTTCTGCCTCCAGGGAATGCTTGTCCTTCAGAGTGGCCAAGTCTCCTCTTTATGCAACAGGCACTCACTGAGAACCCACTGTGTGCAGGATCTGCCTGGATGCTGTGCAATCAGCGGTGAATGAAACCGCCAATAGCTCTTCCCCCACCAAGCTTACATTCTCTTCTCTTGTAAAGAGGGGAAATCCATCCAGGGCATGGAGAGGGTAAATCATGTTTTCTTTAATTAATCTTCAGAAACATCACACAGGAACATTCCTGGGAGGCACAGATTCACTGTTTAATCTGACGGCCTCGTGGGAATAGATGCCCATAAGTTTGGCATTTGCTGTGGGTCCATTTGGGAAACCCTTGTGTGATTCAGGGACTGAGTCACACAGTCCCCATGGGCTCTGAGCAGAGCTGTGTCATCTCAGAATGTCCCTCCCCTCAGGAAAGAGGTCCCACATGTGGGTGACTTAGGGGTTCCCCATTTAAGGCAGCAATTATGTTTATTTGGGGTTTCCTGCCAGAGACCCAAGATCCTCGTCCTAACTCCTGAATCCTGGAACGTCAGCACAGGAAGGACCTTCAGACCATCCAGGCCAACTCTCTTTACACATGGGAGACTGAAACAAAGAGATGACAGGGTCCTTGTCCATGGTCGCAGGGCCAGTTATTGACAGAATTGGAACCAGCGTCCGTATCTGAATCGAGACAGTCTCCTTCCTTCCCCAGAGTTTGTTAGACGCTGTCTCCATAGGAGGGCCTGGTGCATCATAGGTGCTAAATAAAAGCTCCTCAGACAGAACCACGGGTCAGAGAGCCAGCATTTCTCTTTTTCATCAGTTTCCCAAAGGTTCGGAATGCTCCTCACATTCAGACATGAAAGCCCGTTGGTGATTGAAAAACTTCTCCCACATGTAAGTCCTGTCATTCTGTATCGAGTCCACATCAGGACATAGAGAGCTGCTCCATTTTTTTTTACAGCTGAAGAAACCTCCCATTGATGGAAATATCAAAATTTATTTCACAGCCCTCTGTTGATGCATATGTAAATTACTCCCAACCTTGCGTTACTAAAACAATCCTTCAGTGGATGATGTTGTACATGTGTCAGCCTACTCTGGTGGGAGATTCTCACTGGAACTGGCATTTCTAGGTCAGAGGATAGTGTGTTTTCATGTTTGAGAATGTTGCCTAATTATTTCCGTCCTAGATGATGTAGCAATGAGGGCTCCCCACAACACTTGAACTTAGGGAAGACGGCTTTACCCTGACTGTGCAGATCATACAGGCAAAAACACTGAAGTTTCCAGATGGTGCCTCCCCGGCCCAGGCAGTCACAGCCAGTGGTGGCTCAGGTGTGACTCAGATCTGCTAACTCCTAGTAAAGTGCTCACTCCTCTTTGCCATGCTCCAGCCTAAATGATGAGCTGGGTGAGAAAAGAGGGAGGCGGGGAAGGGGGCCAGGGAGCAGCAGCTGTGCCAGAGTCTCCTTATAACCAGTGCTATGAGGGAGGAGCCATTTGCTACCTCCTTTAAAGATGAGGACACTGAGGCTCAGAGAGGAGACCTGATTTGGGAGCAGGTCAGAGAGCCAAGGCTTGAACCCCCGCCTGACTCGCAGCCCTTGTCCCTGCAACACTAGGCTATGGTTTTTCAAGTGTGGAGAAATGCCCCAACCCTCTCTTTCTAAACTCTTGCATTGTTCAGTTCTACAGCAAAAAGCATTAAAAACAAAACAAGAAGCCCTGTGGAGTGGGAGGCGCTGGCTTTACACTCCCATCAGAAAGGTCCTGCACATGTCTCATGATATATCAAGCCTGTTCCTAAAGGACGGGTCTCAGCACACCTGAAGTCTTCAGGGCTCTCCCTCCCCATTGCTGTGCTGTTTCTCCTTCACTCAGCAGCATCCATGGAGCAGAGTGGAGTCTCCTGCAGCCCAGCAGAGCACGTGCCTGCCTGCTCATGGTGCTGAGGACTAAGGATGAGATGAGGCATTTCCTAGAGAGTGTTTGAGGCCCATGTGAACAAGTTTAGATTCTCCCCTCTGGCTGTCAGCAGCCCACTATCTTTGGTTTATGGCAACAAGGTAACCAGGCCTGGGCACCCAGGAGGGAGGTTTCTCCCTAACATTGCATGAAGTCTAGAATCTCAAAGGGACAATTGAGTTGGCGGTCAGTGTTGGGGCTCTAGAAGTTAAAACACTTTCCCTGTTAATGGACATAAGTGCGTGGTGGGACATAGGAAATGCCCACTGGGACACATGGGGGATGAGGAGACGGAGCCTTCATTTTGCTCGGCCTCAGTTTCCTCATCTGTAGAATGGATGATCATGGACTCCTTTAGGAAAGTGGAAAGCATTTAAGTTTCTCTCTGTAAATCACCTAGCACACTGTAGGCACCCCCAAAGTGAGGGGTTATTTCAAGATCGTGTGATCTTGGGCCAGTCTTGCCTTCCCTTGAGTACTCAGTTTCCCCATCTGTGCGACACTGATTATCATGGCCCCACTCCGGGTTCTGTGAGGATTGGAGAGGATGTGCGCAGAGCTCCTAATGGTGGTGGTGTTTGGCTCATGACTGAGCTTCTGCAGAACGGTGGTTAGGAGAGCACGGGCAGGATCCCAGCTGCCTGGACCACTTCTAGGCTCTGCCACTTCTTGGCTCTGTGACCTGGGACAAGGCACTTCACCACCATAGGCCTCAATGTCCTCACCTGTTGATGGTAACACTGACCTCACAAACTGAGCAGAGTCTGAAGGACTTAAATCATGTAAAATACTTAGGGCATCACCTAGCACCCAGTAAATGCTCAATAAATGTGAGCTGTGTTAGGGTGAAGCTGTGTGACCTCAGATAGGTCAGTGCATCTCTAGGCCCCAGGTATAAATGGGGTTAGGGCTGGGGTCCAGTGGCCTTCAACCTTAGCTGCTCATTAGAATCACTGGGGAAACTTGCAAAACAAAAATTTACAAACCTGGACCCAGGATCCCTCCCTAAAATGCCAGTTTAATTGGTCTGACCTGGGCCTGGATATCTAAAATTCTTAATGACTCTAGAAGATACTCATACATAGCCACCTAGCAAAAGTGGTGCCCCAGGTTTGGGGGCTTTGCGAACAGCTTTTGGGGGCATGGGTCCTTCAAAACAGACATTCTGGGAACATATCAGGAGGCCCCATAAGCCTGGACAGGACCTCTCCCATGCTACTGGCCTCAGGACCCAAGATAGGAGACTTGGACAAAGCTTCACTCAGATCCAGCCTCAGTGCTGGGGAACCTTCTGTCTTGAAAATGTTTGTATCTAAACACGTGCTAGAGTTCCAGCAAATCCTCATTCCTCAGCCCCAGAAGCCTTCCTGCCTCAGCACTACCAGATGTCACTGAGGTATCTTTTCCCTCCGTCTTCCAAAATGCTTCCAGCTTCACCTGCGATTTTATTCGAAAGCCAAATCACCAAACGTGGTGGTTGCTGCTCCTTTCATCATTTGGGATTTTTTCTGGCAGCTGCAATGAGCAGGGCTTGAGCCCTTCCTTGGCGTTTCTGCTCCTCTTTGCTCTGTTGCCTAAAGAATAGCTATGAAGCTTCAGAAGCAGCGATGACCAAACCTCATAATTACTGTCTCAGGGGTTATTTATTAAGCACCTACTTCATGCCAGGCTATGCACTTGAACTTACCCTCACTCGTCTTACCAGGGTGGGGTTTTTATCTACTCTTGGACCTTGGCCAGCAAGCATCCTTTCAGAGTCTCACCTTACAAAAGGGCTCACATGAGGACCCCCTCTAAGAATTAGAGGGAGGATTAAAGAGCTGAGAGGTACAGAGAGAGCAGCCAATGTCAGGCTGCCAAGAAGCCCTCAATAAATCGGAACTGAAGACAGCATCTCAGCCCTCTAGGGACTGCTGGTGTCTCAAAGACTTGACATCTCAAGTGACACCCTCCTTACTGTGCCCTCAAAATATTTCACACGTGTTAGAAAGCAAGTTAATATTTGCAAAGGTAAACGTGTAATACGTGCTTTCTGGAACAACAGTAGAAGGTTCAAGGTAGCAGTTAGCACTTTGCAGACACCCTTAAAGCACATCTACAGGGAGAAACCACCCTCCGTGTTCTGATTCTCCAATTTGTTTGTTTTCAGGACCCAGAATATGTTTCTGCCTGTTGGGGTGGCCTGGGTCTTTGCCTCTTGTCATTAATTAACAATGAAAAAATTAACCACCTCTGGGTTTCTTAGTACTCCGTGATGGTTGTTTTTGATCCAATCTTGACCTAACTGATGATCCAGATTCAAAAAAAAAAGTCCTCTTTTCAAATTTAGGCCTTGCAGCAGATTAGGCCTGCTAACTAAAAACACGATTGTTAGAAAGGCCAAAGGAAATAGCATTTATTTGAAAAATAAAGAGTTGCAATTTGGATGCACTGAGTCGGTGAAACCCTGAATAGTGTCCCATGTGGCGATACAGGAAAGGTTTCTTATAGGGGACTTTCACAGAGGTTGTTTTTGGAAACAGTTCATTGGCTGGTCAAAAAACCTAAACTGTAAACCTGTTCTCATTGGTTATTTAATTAAAGTACTCCAGGATGAGAGAGAGATCAACACCCGCAGACCTTGGCTTCACTTGTTATCTAGGTCTAGAGCAGCATCATGTGGCTTGACCTTTAGCAGCTGTGAGTGCAATGCTCTTACAAACGCTTGGCTCCACGTTAAAGCTTTAGCCTTAATTAATGCCTTTTGGACAGACTGAAATATTTGTGAAAAGAATAAAAATAAGGAATAATTCATATTTTTATAATAACCAAAGAGAGACCTCTGTATTCGTAAAGGCTGGGTTAAAGATAGACCTGTGTTTAGTTTTGAGAAGCATGCTCTAGTGTTTGATCCAGAGCAAACTGCTTGCATTGCCCCCATTTAATCCTGGGTACATCCCAGGAAGTAGAAACGCTGTCCTCCTATTTTACAGATAAGGAGTTGGGTATGCCAGGCCACGCCTCTCCTGGGCTGAGCAGCCTGGTTACAGCTCTCCCAGTAATACCACTTTGCTATTGTTCTCCGCATTGGATTCTAGAAACGCCCTCTCTGAGGTTGCTGAGATTTTGGCGAAGGCCAGCTAGAGCCAGTTAATAAAACGGAGGGACACTAATTATTAATTTTGTTCCTATGCCCAGATTGGTGGAAGTCACCCTGTGTGGAGAGGACTTTGAACTCAGGCCTGGACTTCCCTCTGGGCCTGCCCCTACTCACGGCCTGACCTGGTGCTGGTCCTTCTCCAACCTTTGCATCCTGCTCTGTAAAATGAGAATAAGAACATCATCCTTTCCACATTATTAGAAGGATTAAAATTAATGTCCATGAAGGTTCTTAGCGTGTCACGCACTCATCGTTAGTGATGGTCATCTCAGTCATGTCTGCTGTTTATCGATGCTCCTTTTGTAGCCAAACCCTCTGCCCCCGTGGTGTCAGGCCCTGCGACGAGGGTCACACCTGAGGACACAGTGAGCTTCACCTGCGAGTCCCAAGGCTTCTCCCCCAGAGACATCACCCTGAAATGGTTCAAAAATGGGAATGAGCTCTCAGCCCTCCAGACCACCGTGGACCCCGCAGGAGAGAGCGTGTCCTACAGCATCCGCAGCACAGCCAGGGTGGGACTGACCCGTGGGGACGTTCGCTCTCAGGTCATCTGCGAGGTGGCCCACGTCACCTTGCAGGGGGACCCTCTTCGTGGGACTGCCAGCTTGTCTGAGGCCATTCAAGGTAGAGGATCCTCACTCCCAGGCAATCCCACACCTGGCTGCCAAGCCCACTGCCCACTCCCCAGGCCATTGCTCCAGAGCTTGAATGGCCTAGAATCTAATCCCTAACTGTGCTGCCCACCTCCCATGCACCTAGGTGTGCCCGTCACTTATCATTTTAATGGCAGCTGTCCAGGGACCAGCAACCATGTGCTAAGCCCTGAGCTAGAGAGTTTCATTTATTTCACCAAGGGCAACTACAATTAGTGAGCACCTTCTAGAAGCCAAATCCGTATGTGCTTGGTGATTTCACTGATTTTGCTGCAGTCCTTACATTCTAACTGTATGCCAGGGGTTGTGCATCTAGATTTCACTCATTCTTAGTCTAGTAGGAGCTATCAGTCCTTGGGCACCTGCTGTGTGCAAGATATTGTGCTTAGTAATTTCACTCATATGCATAGAGTGCCCTCAATGCCTGAGCACCTGCTGACTCCCTAGCACTGTCCTGGGGACACCCTCACCATGGTGGTGGGAGCTAAGTTATGGAGCCCTCCCTGTGACCTGTCTGTGCCACAAGGTCAGAGTTTCTGCCCTGTGCTGTTTCAGTTCCACCCACCTTGGAGGTTACTCAACAGCCCATGAGAGCAGAGAACCAGGTGAACGTCACCTGCCAGGTGAAGAAGTTCTACCCCCAGAGCCTACAGCTGACCTGGTTGGAGAATGGAAATGTGTCCCGGACAGAAACAGCTTCAACCCTCATAGAGAACAAGGATGGCACCTACAACTGGGCAAGCTGGATCCTGGTGAACACCTGTGTCCACAGGGATGGTGTGGTGCTCACCTGCCAGGTGGAGCATGATGGGCAGCCGGCAGTCAGCAAAAGCCTTCGCCTGGAGGTCTCAGCCCACAGTAAGGAACAAGGCTCAGATGTCACCCATGGTGTGATTACTTACCATTTTTAAATTTTATCTTTTTCTTTGATGTTAAAAGCAATATCCATGCTTATCATAAATTAAGCTAGAACTCTATAAATGTAAAGTGGAATTTTAAATTCAGCATCATTCTCCCAAATCTCACACTCCAAGAGTCATCACTAGCAAGAGTTTGAGGTACAATCTGATAGATTATTTGACATAAATATATATCAAATGAGAAAGAAAGGAGGCAAGGGTATCATCTGTTCTTTGCATCCTGCTTCTGGCTTTTTTCCTCTGACAGTTATTACACCCGCGTTTCTCATCAGCCCACCCTGCCTCCTCCCTACTCCTTCTGACCTCTGCCTTGTCTGCTCCTTCCTAAACTTTTCCATTAATATCTGTGACCTGCCCCCAGCAAACTCTAGCATCTACTGTATGAATTTCAGAAAGACAAGTGGAGTTTAAGCTTGGACAGGCCCCCAGGTGACCATGAGTGGTCAAAGCAGGGGCCTCCTTTGAGTCCTGATGGTGATCTTTGACCAATAACAATAACAACGGCTCTCTGCAGGTCTATTTTGTGCAAATTTCTGTTCTTCTATGATCTCCTTTCCTGCTTCGACCACCCAGTGTGTCTGGGGTTTTGCAGAAGGGGAAACCAGGATGTGGGAAGCAAGGGGGGATCTTGTTGAAGACAATTAGATCAAGGCATTAGACCAGATGACTGGTCCAATCTAATCAAGGTAAGTCTGAGATCCTGAGGACAGGGTCACTACCAGCCTATAATGCAAATTTATGCTAATCTGGGAAATGTTCTCTTTCTGCTGGGCGTTGTACTGAGGACGTGAATTTGACCAGGGTTCCCCCCAATAGGAACAAAATACATCTTATTTCTCTCTCATGTAACACCGGTGGGGGGGGTCTCTATTCAAGAAGACTTTTAGAAGGCCCAGGTTCCTTCCCACATGCCCTATGGCATTGGCTTTATCTGCTGAGTCCATGCTGGATCATGATTTGTCCATGTCTCTGCCTGCTGAAGAGGGAAGACAGGAAGTGGAAGACAAACAAGGTCCCCTGTCATCAGAGATGTACGGAAGGTGCATAGTCCCATCCACTGCTCACTCAGTCATGCCTGCACATGCAGTTTCAAGAGGAGTCCACAGTTGGGTGATGTGATAATTGAGGACATTTTTTACAAAACCAGTATCATTATAAACTTAATAAAATTTAAAATTTGTATACGATTCCATTAATTCTTAAAATAATTCTCTCACACCATCTAAAACGGAGCCTACCTTCCAATTTCCTCAAATTCCTTTTGTAGCCGTTATTCTGTGCACCAAATTTGGTTTTAATTTATCTCTAAATGTTTGGTAGTATTTTCCTGTGAAACATCTGTACCTCAAGAATATTTTGGGGTATACTAAAATTATGAATTGACAGCGAGGTACGGTGGCTCACGTCTGTAATCCCAGCACTTTGGGAGGCCGAGCTGGCTGGATCACAAAGTCAGGAGTTCGAGACCAGCCTGGCCAACCTGGTGAAACCCCATCTTTACTAAAAATAGAAAAATTAGCTAGGCACATTGGTGGGCACCTGTAATCCCAGTTACTAGGGAGGCTGAGGTAGAATTGCTTGGACCTGGGAGGCGGAGGTTGCAGTGAGCCGAGATTGTGCCATTGCACTCTAGCCTGAGCAACAGAGCAAGACTCCATCTCAAAAAAAAATTTATGAATTTATTTTCATCAATAGTTTAGGGCTATTCATATTATTCATTTCATATTAGGTGATTTCTGGTAACCTGTGTTTTTCAAAGAGGTTTTGGTTCATTTATCTATGTTGTCATATTTCTGTGTGTGGGGTTGTTCATGATATCCCTTATAACCAACCCTTTTGGTGTCTGCAGGGTCTGTAGTGATAGCCCTTGTTTCATACTGATATTTAAAATGTGCCATTTCTGCTTTCTTCTTCATCAGGCTTGCTGTAATTTTTTTTTCCATTTTATTGTTCCTTTCAAAGAAACAACTGTTTCAAATGCTTTTTGTATTTTTTTAATGTTTTAATATTATTTATTTCTACTCTCTTCTCTTTTTAAAAAATTTCTATCTTTGGCTTGCTTCAGATTTATTTTGCTCTACTCCTTGTAGTTTCCTGAAGTGGAAACTGTATTATTGAATTCAGGCTTTTTCTTTTTTCTATGTCTTCTTTTTTTGTGTCACATTCTATGGCTGGGAGCTTATATTGGAGGGGTGGGTGTCCCAGGTGCTTGGCCTCAGGGCTGTTCCTCAGTCCTCAGGTCCCGAGTCAGTCTGCCTTCCTTTTTCACCTTGGAAGTCCTCCTATGCCTGCTTCTCATGATATTTCTAGAGTTCTTAGTTGTATTTCTCAAGGAGGAGCAGGAAGAGATGAATCTGCACCATCTGTCTGAAGTTGCATTTGCTTTTTAGACTTCCATCCACCCACTGGGGCTCAGACCAGGGCTGCCATTTTTGGGTGCTTTCAGTGTGCCTGCTGTAGCATCCTGTCTCACGTGCTAAGTCTGAAAATGCATTGTAGGTCATCTTCTGTGATGTGTTTCATCACTGGCGTGGGAGCCTAGTGAGAGACTGTGCACTAGGGTTAGGTGAGTGTTCCCTTTCGACTCATAGTCATTTTGCAGCTTGGCATTCTCTCTTCAAGTAGTATGTAGAGCCTGAATTGTATAGAATTTACTTTTCCTCTTTTGTTCCTTCTTTTGGTTTGGGGAGGATATTTACAGAGACAAGTAGCTATGCTACTGCAATTGTCCCCAGCAATTCCAAAGGCAACTGACAATCTTTGAGTGCTTTTACCCAAATGTCTTCTCCCACATCTCAGGGTCCCACAGCTTCCCCATCAGGGTCGTATCCCAGCATAGCAGCCATTGAAACTCAGATTCATTCTCCTCTGTGATTCTGCTACTCTTCTATGATGCCTAGGAACCAATCCTCTATTCTTTCTGCCTTGTGACTCCAAGAAATAAGAATCTACAGTGCTGCCAAGAAGTCCTCTGGCTTCTTAACTCATCATCAATCACTCTCAGCTTCTCACTGAACCTTAACTCATGATCAATCACTCTTAGCTTCTCATTGTCTTTCTCCCAAGGGTTGATGCCCAGCAACAGCTAAAACCTTAGTTCTTATGACTACCATTTCCCAGTCTGTTTTCAAAAGCCTGATGCCAAGGAATTTTCTTCCTGTGGTTACACTATCCCAGTTTACTGCCAGTGAAAGTTTTATCAATTGCACCACAACAGCAAGTCAGGACTTGTCCAGCTCCACTCACCACCACCCCTGGAGTCCTCATTGCCAGCTGATGAGGAATCAGATTCCAAACTCATATTTTAGAGTTTGCTTTCCAGACCACTTTTCAAGGTCAGTTTCTCTGGGAGGCCAACTGGGGATGGATACAGGAATGCAGGAAGCATCCTAGAATGCCATCAGGGTCAACAGGCCTCAGCAAATGAGGAGGCAGGACTGTAGGTGGAGGGAGGTGCTGAGCCACAGTGCAGGCAGGACAAAGACCTGCTGCTCCTGCAGAGAGGCCAAGGGCTGTAGGGTCCTGTAGAGTTGTTTTAAATTAAGGGGAGGGGCTGGCCTTTCATACTCCCAATGCAATCAATCTTTCATGTGGGCTGCCCCCTAGAAGGAGTAAGCTTGGGCAGTGCAGCTCTCCTCAGGGGAGAGAAAGCCCCAGAGAGCCACCCAGCTGAGAACTGCTGGCCTTCCACACACCAGTAGCCACAGATGCTGAGGTCTCCATTCCTTCCTTAAGGACCCACCAGCACCATTTTACTTATTTAAAAAAATTAATACTTTTGTTACTTTTAATATCCCAAACCCCTTCTTTAAAAAATGCAGAGTCCAAACATGTGCTTCTGTAGATCTGACTCCCTGCATCCAACAGAAAGATTTCAGATGACATCTGCACTGGGGTTGAGGTGGGATGGATGATGTCTGAGGCCTTTCTGAGCATGAGGCCCATTCCCTCACTCACCAAGGTATTTTCCAACCAGCAAGTTTCATTAGGTCTTATCCCTGGAGGACTCCCTGAGATCATGAGAATATGGGGTCAAGCCCATACCCCTGGGGCTAAGAAGGGCAGCATGTAACTCTCTCTCTCTGAATCCATTCTCATACTACCTGCCTACCCTTTCCTAATCATTCCTATGACCCAGGGGAGTTGGACTTGTCTTGGACTCAGGAGTCACCCTTGGGGACATAGTGATGGGTTTCCCTAGGTTTGGATCTTACTAATCACCTGATGCTCCCTAAACTCTCTGGCCTCAGTTTCCCCATCAGAATGGAATAATAATCCCTGCCCCACAGGCTTGTGTGGATCAAGTGAGGAACCCAGTTGCCACATATATGAATACGTGACTACACGCTCTCCCCACCTTTTCCCTCCAGGAGGATAAGCTGGCAGCCTGGGACAGGATGAGTGAGAATGAGGAGCCACTTTCCCTAGCCTTTGCTTTTGGCTGGAGTCAGGGAAGCCAGAGCAGGATGCATGCTCAAAAGCTTCGGAGCATTGATGGGCGCAGGTAGCCTCAGATGGGGTAAGTGGAGGCCCCAGGTGGCCCCTCTCATGGCTCCTCTTCTTCCCTGATTTCCAGGCCCGGCACTGGCTCCTACTGCTCCACTCCTTGTAGCTCTCCTCCTGGTCCCCAAGGTACTACTGGTGGTTGGTGTCTTTGCCATCTACATCTACTGGAAACAGAAGGCCTGACTGTAAGTGTGGGAGAGAGAGAACTGACAAAGGCTGACCCAGATGGGCAAGGCCAGCAGGAGGGCCCAGCTCACATGCCATGCAGCTTCAGGGTCAGTGGAGTTTACAGAAGATGACAGGGCTCCATCGGGATATTCAGGAGTCTCAGGGAACCCTGAGACTCTCAACCCCCAGGAAGTGTGCAGGTGGGGTGCCTCAAGGGTGTTACAGGAGGTGGGATGCTTCGAGGAGGTTCAAAGGTGTCCCCAGTGCCCTAGGAGTCCCATGGAAGAGGTGGACAGAGGGGGCTAAATGAGGGACAACTGAGTGGGTGGTCCCCTGCAGGCCACTGCTGGGACTCCATGGGGTCACAGGAATCCCCACTATAGAATAATGTTGAGAATCCCCAGTTTGGCTGCTCTGAGGGCTGTTCCTACTCTGACCCTCTGTGTGCCTGAGTGGAAGGGAGGGAGGAAGGGGCATCAGGACTTGGGATGAGGGCTGAGCTGGCAGTCTTATCTCAGGCCTGCCTGAGGAACAGGCATCCCAAGAGGAGACTAGCACCAGGGACATATCAGGCTCTCAGGAAACATTTCTTGACTGATGGGCAGATGACTAAATGTAGACGTGTTTTCCCACAGTTCCTTCACTCCTTCCCTGCCATGTGAGACCCCCAGTCTCTGCTGCCTCCTTCCTTTCTCGAGAGACTTTGCCTGAGAGGAGCTGGTGAGAAGATTCCCCAGACTGAGCTCCAAATGCCTCCCTTCCCAGGACATCTGCCTGCCCACAGACTCCTGTTGCTCCTTCACAAGACCTTGATGCTCCAGAGCAGGGTCTTCATTCTTGGCCCTGAGCAGGGGACATGGGATTGGGCCCAGGGCACTGACTCATGGCACCTCCCTAGAATGTGAGAAACACGCCAAATCTAAACACATCAGGACTCCTCCCATCCACCGCCTTGGGACTGACTTTATACCACAGACTCCCTCCAGGCTCTCAAGAGGTATGTTGTCTTCTGGATTACTGCCTACCCCAACTCCCCAGCCTTGTTGAGGTTCTCTATTGCCTCCTGAATACACATGAACCCCTGTAACAATTTTAAGAAAAAATGATTCTCCTTCGTCTTTGTCCAAGTGTCCTACCCCTCACACGCAAAAAGAAAGAAGCTCTCCCTTCTCTCTGTGATGGGGACGCTAGTTCTCCTAGCATCCTGCAGCCTTCCAAGCCCTGCTGCTCATGGTAGAAATGCTGCCACAGTCCAACATCCTGGAGTCCTCCTTGACTTCCCTTTATACTCCGTATTCAATTCTGCCTCCAAAATGTTTATATCCACTTATGTGAGATGGTAAATGTTTAACAGTGAACTTTCTGAAAGGGAAAAATCAAAAGCTGTTTTGTCATGCTTGCCAATCTCTGTAGTGTAATCACTCCCAACATGGCCAGTTTCAAGCTACCAACCGTTAAAACAACCAGATTGCAGAATTCCTATAATTCAACAATTGGTTTTCAGGGGTCAGTCCAAGCCTGCTGCAGGACTTCCCGAGTTATATCCACAATCTGCCACTTCTCACTTCCGCCACCCCTCCCTGTCTCAGCCAGCATCATCTCTTTTGGGACCACTCCTCTGCCTTTCATTTTTCAGCCATAGCGATTCTTTGGAAAAGTCAAATCATATTACTTCTTTGCTTCTTCCCCAACACAGCTGCACCGCTCCCTCTCTCCCTCCTTCAAGTCTGTGCTCAATGTCACTTTATTAAAGTCACCTTCTGTAAACTACCCTGTATAAAATATTATTTCTTTTCTCTATCCCAGCATTCTAATTTCTCTCATCCTAGCTAATTTTTCTTTAGCTCTTATTTCCATAAGTATTAACTGAATACAGGCAGCCCTCACTTTTCATGGCAGTGCAGTATTGCAGAAACGACTGTGCAACCTGAAACCCAGGAAAGCAATCTCCATATTCAATCAAAAAAATGATCATTCTGTGACCTTTAACTTTTTTTGTCAAAATATTAGAAAGTCTTACACTCTCAGTTACAAATGTAGAGGACAATGAAAATATAATGAAATAAATATTTACTTGTGCACTGTAATTCAAACTATTAGAAACATTGAGAGTTCAAGTGTTGTTTCTTAGTGAAAATGTATCAAGAGTAGTTGAAAGAGTGCTTGCCTTCTTCTTGTATATTTCTGATATGGAATGATATGGTTTGGCTCCGTGTCCCCACCCAAATCTCATCTCAAATTGTAATCTGCACATATTGGGGAAAGGGGCCTGCTAGGAGGTGATTGAATCATGGAGGTGGACTTCCCCCTTGCCGTTCTTGTGATAGTGAGTTCTCATGAGATCTGGTTTTTTGAAAGCGTTTGGCATTTCCCCCTTTGTTCTGTCTGTCTCTTTGTCTGTCTCTCTGTCTGTCTCTCTCTCTCTCTTTCTCCTACCACCATGTGAAAAAAGTTCCTGTTTCCTTTTCTCCTTCCATCATGATAGTCAGTTTCCTGAGCCTCCCAGTCATGCTTCCTGTTAAGCCTGTGGAACTGTGAGTCAATTAAATATCTTTTCTTCATAAATTATGCAGTCTCAGGTAGTTCTTTATAGCCGTGTCAGAATGGGCTAATACATGAAGCAAGCATCTTTTTTTTTTTTTTTCTTTCTTTCTTTTTTTTTTTTTGAGATAGAGTTTTGCTCTTGTTGCCCAGGTTGGAGTGCAATGTCACAATCTTGTCTCAATGCAAACTCCACCTACCAGGTTCAAGTGATTCTCCTGCCTCAGCCTCCTGAGTAGCTGGGATTACAGGCATGCGCCACCATGAACAGCTAATTTTGTATTTTCAGTAGCGATGAGGTTTCACCATGTGGTCAGGCTGGTCTCGAACTCCCACCCTCAAGTGATCTGCCTGCCTCAGACTCCCAAAGTGCTGGAATTACAGGCATGAGCCACTGCGCCAGCCATCAACCACCATTTCTATTATACTTTGGTGTTTTGCCATCTTTCTAAGTTTGAACTAGCTTCCAACATCTTATCTCTTGCACTTTCAATGTTATGAAATCACTCCAGAATATCCTCTCATGTGAAGTTTTCTGCTGGTGTTTCAACCTTTGGGACATCTTCAGCCCTTTTTTTACCACCCCTCTCCCATTTGTGGCAGTTTGCCTTTACTACATCCCTCTGGTTGCCTCTCTGAAGTTCCTGTATCAGGGTCTACATTGCCGTGGTCAACTATTTTTTTTTTTTTTTTTTTTTTTTGAGATGGAGTTTCGCTCTTATTACCCAGGCTGGAGTGCAAAGGCATGATCTCGGCTCACCGCAACCTCCGTCTCCTGGGTTCAGGCAATTCTCCTACCTCAGCCTCCTGAGTAGCTGGGATTACAGGCACGTGCCACCATGCCCAGCTAATTTTTTGTATTTTTAGTAGAGACGGGGTTTCACCATGTTGACCAGGATGGTCTCGATCTCTTGACCTCGTGATCCACCCGCCTTGGCCTCCCAAAGTGCTGGGATTACAGGCTTGAGCCACCGCGCCCGGCCCCCATGGTCAACTATTTGTACCTCTAGAATTCCACTCACATTTAATTTGAACTTCACTGGCAGCATTTTCACTTCTCATTTCTTCATGGCACCTTCATCTTGGTCGCCAAATTCCTCTTTCAATTATTCATTACTGTAAAATATCACGTGGACTCGTGTCACTGGGGGACAAGAAGGCAACCCAACTAAGGCTTTGCTGTTTGAGTAGGAGATTCACAGGAACCAATCACCAACAGACTTTGAAAGAAGCAACATGACTGGTTACTGATGATGATGAGCTTTTGTTATTTCCATGGTGATTTGTGGACTGAAGAGCTAGCCCAGAAGTTTGTACTCTATGCAAATTACAGTAAATTTACTATGGCACCTAAATTTTGAGACTTGTGTTGTGGGACTGATATTACTTAACTAAACTGTGGTAAGTTAAATGCATACATGTCAGCACCAAAGGGAGAACTGCCTGTAGTTGTCTGTCTTACTCAAATAGAATGTCAGTTCTATCAGGGGCTTGGGGGCAGATTATCTGTATCCTCAGTTGCCAAAACTGTGTTTGCCATATGATAGGCTGTCAATGTTTTTAAATGAGTCAATACATCATTGAGGCCACTGGTTTCTACTAGGTGTTAGATTTCAAAAGAAAACTTTTCTTCATTTGATCCCTTGGCTTGTGTGCTGTATTCTCAAGCTCTTTCTTTAAAAACTGCTCTCTCTTCTTTCTGTTTAAAGCATTTCATCAAAAATTCAACATCCTCTAGAAAGTAAGAAAATGCTAAAAAGAAAAAAAAGCCAACACCAAAACCAAAACCCACAGTGATTGAAGTATACCAAAGGGGTGCAGGAACCAGCTGAAAGAGCTCCCAAAGGCTAAAGCTGGAACAATTTCAGCAAAAAATAAATAAATAAATAAAATTAAAAAAATAAAAATAAGTAAAGTAGCAATGAGTTATAATCCAAAGTATAAAATAAATATCTGAGTCCTTACTGATATAAATAATTGATTGAATAAATTAATGGGAGAGAAGAGAAGAATCTCCAGTGCAGAAGAGTCCCAGATAATTTATTTATACACTCCATCCTAAAGGACGTGGAACATAACTTCCACTCCTGAAGTGTGAGCTGTGCAGAGCGACTTCTTTTCAAAGAATGCAACAGGGAAAAAAGGAGAAAAAATAACTTTACAGTGGAAAAACCTGACAAATACCACGTGAGCCAGGTGATCAAGAGTTCATCAACAATTATAAATCAACATCAATAATCATAAATCATGTCACTAATATGTACCTTTAATATGATGTGATGAAAGTGACACTTTTCCTCTGCTACCTTCCCCCCAAAACTCACAACCCCAATCTAATCATGAGAAAAACACCAAATTTCCATGAAGAGGCATCCTGCAATATTAGGCCCAGTACTCCTCAAAACTGTCAAAGTCATCAAAATAAAGAAAAGTCTAAAAACCTGTCACAGCCAAGAGAGGCCTGAGGCGATATGGTAAGTAAATGTAACAGATATGCTGGACTGGATTCTGGAACAGAAAAAGGACAGTAGGTAAAAAGAAAAGATCTAAATAAACTATGAACTTTGATTAATCATAATGTATCAGTATTGGTTCATTGATTATAATAATGTATTACACTGATGTAAGATGCCAATGATAGGGGAATCAGTGCACAAATATATCCAGCCTCTCTATATTGTCTTCTCAATTTTTCTGTAAATCTAAAACTGTGGGATCAGAGAACTTTGGGTTATGTGGGTGAGCTGGGCTAGCTTTCAGGATCTGACTATGAGTGAGTGAATAATATCCTGAGCCCAAGGCTTTACAGGAACAAGTTGTTCCCAGGAGGAGGGTAATGGATGCTGAGAGGAACTTGGTTGCGAAGACGGTCCTCAGCATCAGCCCTATTTGGGATTGTCTTAGCTGAAGGGAGTGCCCTTGTTTAGGTCATGTCTGGAAACAGACCACATCTCATTGGACTCATCAACCTGATGGTATAAAGGCCCCGCTCTCTTATCCTAACTTAGAGCAACTCTGGAGAAACATCCTAGTACCAGGTTCCATGCAAGGTCAGCTGAGGTCTTCACTGCAGCCCAACTTCTTCTTCTACCCAATCCTGCTTCCCTCTCCTCCCTTCTACAAGTGTTGATCCTAAAAGTACTCCCTGAAAAGTAACCTGCTTGTTCGTCTTCACCCCAGAGTCTGTCTCCCAGGGAACCCAACCTGGGACAAAAAGGCTGTGCTACATATCAGAAAGGTGGGAATCCCTTTGTCTCTAAGGGAGCAAGTCAGTCATGGAAGAAGGCCTTGTTTATAGTACTTCCAGATTAATGAGAATCCACAAAAATGTTTATTCAGGAGAGGGACATAATTAAATCAATGTTGTAAAAAGACAAGTCTGGCTGAAGAAGGAAAAAGAGACTACAGGGGGCAAATAAAAATGAGGGTAGCCTAGTAAGAAGGCAATTGTTTTTATTCAGGCAAGAGATGATGACAGAGAAGAAGAAAGAGATTAATTCAGAAGGGATTTAGGAGGTAAATCCAATAGGGGCTGCCAGGGCAAGATATGCGTGTGAAACTATGCCCCCAAATAGTTAAAGAAACCAGTTACTAACAGAAATTCTTGAGTTTACAGGATAGCAGGTAAGAAAAAAACACCTTGCTGAAGTGCTGAAACTTCTTCCATTTGTAAGATGACAAAACTGACTAAAATCCATTGGAACCAATATGGCCAACTGGAGATTGTTCAGAATCAGCTTGCTGAGGTCACAGCCTGAATTTCTAGCACAGATTTCATAAGAATGTCCCAGAGTTTTGCACATGGGAGCCATGAAGAGGCATGGAGAGATAACTGTAAATGCCCAAGGACTTTCTAGGCCTCCCCTTTCCTTCCACCAATCACGTACTAATCCCAGAATCCACCCCCTAAACTTTTTCTAATAAAACTGCCGCCTTGAAGTCAGCTAGATTTGAGCTGGACTCCTGTCTTGCTGTTAGTCAACTTGCAATAAAAAAGCTTTTCTTTTCTCAAATGCCTGGTGTCACAGTATTGGCTTCTAGCACATCAGGCAGCGAGCCCCTTTTACTCGGTAACAAGTGGTTAAGTGAGGGTAAAGAACATGAGTCCCTTCCTGGTTTGACAAACACGAAGATGATGGTACCAAATAACCATCATCCCAGGCATGGTGTGGGAGAAGATAAGGTTTATGAGTGCAGATCTGGAATTCAAACTTTAATATTTAAGGTATACTAATGGGCCAGGCACAGTGGCTCACACCTGTAATCCCAACACTTTGGGAGGTGGGTGGATCACTTGAGGTCAGGAGTTCGAGATCAGCCTGATCAACATGGTGAAACCCTGTCTCTACTGAAAATGCAAAAATTAGCTTGGCGTGGTGGTGGGCACCTGTAGTCCCAGCTACTCAGGAGGCTAAGGCAGGAGAATCCCTTGAATCCAGAGGCAGAGGTTGCAGTGAGCTGAGGTCATGCCATTGCACTCCAGCCTGGGCAACAAGAGCAAAACTCCATCTCAAAAAAGAAAATTTTAAAAGTATATAAATGAAGATGTCAAGATGATTGCAGGATATACAGGTCTGCATTGTGAGCCCAAGATTACTCAGCTCCTAGGAGGCGGATTCAGGATTTTAACCTCAATTATATCTGGTGTCAAACCTGGCACCCTTGGGCATTGACCCATGAGTACAATACCCTCCAAGGAACTTAGAGTCTAATGAAAAGTGAAAAGATTCCCCAATGTAGGGGAAGGGGAGGATGATGGAGGCTGGAGGAATGTTCCTGTCTAGTTCCAAGCAGGGCTATGGATGGGAATTCCTTTGTAGAATTCATCATTTCAGAACAATGGCATAGGATGATGACATCACAAGGAGACGGGGAGTCTTGACATCTCAGAGAGAATGTGCCAGCCTGGTTCTGCTTTCTTTTCCTAGAGGGTCTAACACCTCTCCTGGCCCTGACTTTTAGGTGGTCCCTGTGGAGAAGGCACAAGTCATGAGGAAACAATGAAGAAACAACTATGGCAGCCAGTGCCTGCCTATGGACACTTGGACATTAAAGGGTCACCAGCTGGGTGTGGGCTGAGAGTCTCTGAACATAACCTTTGTGCTTAGGGAGAACCCATTCCAGAGCTGAGAAAGAATGATGCCAACATGCTGCTTCCTCCCTTTTTCTGGGAGCATTTCTTCTGCCCCTTCAGTCCCATCCCTAAGAGATGGTCCCAGGTCCAGCCTAAGCAGGAGAGGCAGCCCTCACCTTCCCAGGTGTCTGTAGGCATGTTACTCTCCCTCCTGGAGAGTGTTCCCCACAGCTCTGCCTTCCCTGCAGGGCCCCTCCATCCTCTAAAGCACAAATCGTCACCACCTCCACAACTCGAATATTTTCTTCAGGCACACCTCTGCAGAAAGGAAAAAGGAAGCAGTTCCTAGTATTGTATGGAGGGACCCACAGAAAAGCTCAGCACAGACAGCCGATATTACATCAGGGCTTGTTTTTTTCCTCTAACAACTCTGGAGTGGAAGAAAGGGCATTCATTGTAAAGTCCGACTCTCATCATCAAGAGGGTGAGGCTATAGACATCCTGCCTCTTTATTAAGCTGTGCAGCTCTGAGAGGCCTAGACATTGAGCTCGTGCAGGAGCTAGACCCACACCTGCCTGTCATGAGGTTGTGGGCTTGGTCTAGCCTATGTGTGTGTCTAAGGCTCCTAGATAGGCAAAGTTCATTAAGTTGGCGAGAACCTGTGAGATGGGATGAAACTCGGGAAGGAGTACAAGCCTGTGGGTGTCAAGCCTCCCAGCCCCAGCAATGCTAAACATTTCCAGCAGTAACTTCCTAGCTTGAAGCAAGCTTGTCTGTTCAATTTTATAATCACAAAGGAAAAAGTGTCCCAGTCCCCTGGCCCTTCCTCTCATCACAATCCCCTTCCTCTGACATCACAGAGGCAAGAACTGTCCTCTCTGCTCAGAGCACTGAGTCCAGGGCCTCTCCAGGACAGATTCAGGCAGAGCAAGCTCCAGGTTTCACCGCTATGCCCATCCCTGCCTCCCCACTCCACTCACCTCTGCCTTCCTTACTGCTGTCCCTGCTGCTCAAACTGGCAGGTGAGTGGGAGTGGTGAGTTCCAGCAGTAACTCAGAGGTGTGTGTATAGTCGGGTCTCCTCCCTACCTGTTTAGTGTAACTCTCCCTCACCTGTTCCCATAGAATTTCTTTTGGGAGAGTTTTCTCCATCTTATCCCAGAGCAGGCAGAATTCAGAAGACTACACTGGGATGTCCCCCAATTCTGAAAAAATCTCCCAGTGGCCATGTCTGTTGCATATTTCTTTGTTCAGGTAAAGGGCTCACACCTATTGTCGAAGGGCTGGGCACAGCACCCATCACGGCTCTCACCCTCCAGCCTCTGGAATCAAAGGATCTGTCATTTGTTTTACTTTATTTTTATTTATATATTTTTTGAGATAGCATCTCACTCTGTCACCCAGGCTGGAGTATAGTGGTGCGATCTTGGCTCACTGCAACCTCTGCCTCCTGGGCTCAAGTGATTCTCATGCCTCTGCCTCCCAAGCACCTGGGACTACAGGCACACGCCACCATGCCTGGCTAATTTTTGTCTTTGTTGTAGAGATGGGTTTCACTATGCTGCCCAGGCTAGTCTCAAACCCCTAAGCTCAAGAGTTCCACCTGCCTTAGCCTCCCAAAGTGCTGGGATTATAGGCAATAGCCACTGTGCCTGGTCCCTGGCAGTTTTTACACTTTCTGTGAAGCTCAATTTCTTATTTCTCTGTTTCCTCTGTGGCTACTCTAAAAAAGTACTGCAAAGCGGGTGGTTCAAATGACAGAAGTTAATTTTCTCACAGGTCTGGAGACTAGACATTCAAAATCAAGGTGCGGGCAGGGTTAGTTCCTTCTGAGGACCGTGAGGCTGAGTCTGTTCCATGTCCCTCTCCGAGCTTCTGGCAGTGGTTGTCTCAAACATTTGTTGGATGGCAGGTGGCATCTTCCCTGTATCCTCACATCATCTTATCCCTGTGTATGTCTGTCTCTGTGTTCAAATTTCCGCTCCTTGTAAACAGAAACATCATATTGAATTAGCACCCACCTCAGTGACCTCATTTTAACTTGATTTTGTCTGTAGCAACTTTATTTCCAAATAAGTTCACATTCTGAGCAACTCGTGGTTAAGACTTCAACATATATTTCGGAGACATGCAGTTCAACTCATGATAGCCTCTACATGAAATTTTAATAACTTAGATATATTCTATGTTGGTTTATGTACTGCATTTATATCTGTCTGCACTTTATACATAGGAAGGGTATGTATAAAACTTGTTCTTTTTATTCAGTGCAGAGTTAAGCATGACTAAATAAAAATGCTTAGGTAAAAGCTAACTTAAGAAACTTAAAGCTAGTCAAAATCACTTGAATTTTTAACTGTACTTATTGGGTGTGGTACACAGACGGTAAGATGACTCCCAGTTATCCCACCCTTATGTAACTCAGTTGTGTGTGACATGCTTCTATCTGATAGAATATGGCCAAAGTGATGGGCTGTCATCACCTTGAGTGTGTTAAGTTGTATAAGATCCATCACGCTAGAGTTTTTCTTGCTTCTGACCTTAAAGAAGCAAGGAGCCATGTTGCACACTGCCTGTGAGAAGGCCCACATGGCAAGGAACTGAGGGAAGCCCCTAGAAGTTGAGGGTCCTAGTCCTACAACCACAAAGACCTGAATTCTGCCAACAGCCTGAGTGAACTTAGAATAAACACTTCCCCAGTCAAACCCCCAGATAAGACCACAGTCTAGCTGGCACCTTGAGTGGAGCTTGCTGAGCCCCTGAATCAGAGAACCCAGCTAAGTGATATCTGAAGTACAGATTGACAGAAGCTGTGAAATAATTAATACATGTTGTTTTCAGCCACCAAGTTTGTGGCCATTTGTTATTCAGTGATAGAAAATGAATACACTGAGTAAGATTGCAAAACCATTCAAAATAAAGTCCTCCATTGTTTTGTAGAACTTATTTGTTTATAAGGTGTACAACTGGATTTTTTTTCACATTTTATTTTAGTTTTAATTGACAAATAATAATTGTATATATTTATGTGGTATAATGTGATGTCCTTATACATGTATATACAGTGAAATGATCAGGCTAATTAATATATCCATCACCTCACATACTTTTCACATGTTTTTTAATCAGGCTAATTAATATATCTATCATCTCACATACTTATCCCGTTTGTGGTAAGAACATTTAAAATCTACTCTTTTAGCAATTTTGAAGTATACATGAACTACAGTCACCATTCTGTGCAATAGATCACCAGAACCTATCCCTCATGTCTAACTACAACGTTATAGACTTTGACCAGCATCTCCCATTTCCTTGTCCAACTCCCCACCACCCTAGACCCTGGGAACCACATTCTATTCCTTACTTCTTTGAGTTAGCCTTTTTGCATTCCACATATAATTTGCAGTATTTGTCTTTCTGAGCCTGGCTTATTTCACACCATAATATTCATGGTGTCATAAATGACAGAATTTTCTGCTTTTTAAAGGCTAAGTAGTATTCCTCTGTGTGTGTGTGTGTGTGTAATCACAATTTTATTAATTTATACATTGATGGACACTTCTGTTGTTTCTCTATTTTGGCTATCATGAATAACACTGCAATTTTGGAGAACTTATCTTGTGGACAGTTTGTGTATCTGCCATGAACTCAATGTCAGTGCAGTTTGTGTGATACCCAAGGACGCATGAGAAGAGCAATTAAGTATTAAGGAATAAGATTTTGTTGGATAGGATTAAGCATCGACAAACAAACCATTGTAATAGCTAAGATATTCCTACACTCCAAAAAGCAATTGTCACCTTTTACGGAAAATAGCCACTTCATTGAGCATGCAGGCCTCAGTGTTTACTCTGAAGAGGTGAATGAGTGGCCTTTCACACAATAGAAGGCTTGGTATGGGAGGGAGCTGCTTGCCTCCATATGCAAGTCACTCTCTGAACTTAATATGTTGGTTATCAACACACTGTCCTTCACTTGGGGCTGTATCCCTGATACTGAGACAATTAAAAAAAATATGACCCAAATTCTATTTTGCATTTTCTCACTTAATAAAAATACATTCATATATTCATTTAAAATATGTTTATATAGTGCCTCATATATTGCAGGCCATCCTCATATCCCGATACGGAAGGAAAGTGCCATTCTTCTATTTGTGCACTGGTCCCTTTCCCTTCATCTCACATGGCACCCAGCACTGTAATTTTTATATGACTGGTACCATCACATGATGCTGAAATTAAGCTATCATATTTAGATCCCACCTTAACCTACAACCAGACCCTCAGAGCATCTTGAGTCAGACAGAGAACATGAGAGATGATTCCAAGTTTCTTTCCAGGACCTTCAGATGAAGAGTTCCAGGTGAACCAGCCTCAGACTTTAGTGTCAGTCAACCCTGGAGATGTCCTAACTCTGGCCTGCAACATGTCTGCTCTGTCCCCATCAGGGCCTGTCTTGTGGTTCAAGAGCACTGGGCCAGAACAACAATTAATCTATAGTTTCAATGGAAGCCACTTCCCCAGAGTAACTCCAGTGGAAAACACAACAGTCGATCAAACTGACTATTCCATTCGCATCAGTGACGTGTTGCCGGAAGATGCTGGCACCTACTACTGTGTGAAGTTAAGGATAGGACACCCTGACATGGAGTTTTTCTCTGGCCCAGGCACCATCGTGTATGTGAATGGTAAGCACAACCTGATGCACTTTATTCCCTGGGTTTGTGAAGATGAATCTTTAAAACCTGTGCCAAATATTCAATCAAGCTATGCTGACAAGCCACATCCTTCTCTGATGCCAACCCCACCGGAACCAAATGACATAGGAGACACAAATAAAAAGATACTGGGTATGCAAGATGCAACTACATGTGTGCACTGTATGGTCCAAATGGTAAGAAAACTGGGCCCTAGAAGGCTGACGACTGACTTCTAAGCTTTTAGGAAGAAGCCTGGGCCCAGGTATAAGCATTGTGTATATCATGACTTATTTCATGACCCTAAACTTCCAGTCACAGATGCTTGCAGCCACATCTTAGCTTCTGACAGAATCTCAACATCACAGGTGATGTTTGCCCCCGAATGCCCAGTATCTCCTGGGCCAAAACAAAGGGCTCCTCAGGCAGGCAGAATCTCTACATGCCTCCATGATCCCCCTCACCCTCCCATTACCAACTGGAATGTGATTAGGGCCTGATAGCAAGTACCTAAGTGGTCACCACAGTACGGTCTGAGATCACATTCCCATTCCCCACACGAATCAGTGAGTGGATGTAATCTCCTACCATGGCCTGGCACTGCTGTTGGGGAATTCTGAGACCGGAAGGAGGGATCTTACGTATCACTCTCTCCAAATCCTTGTTTGCAGAAAGCCTGCCCAGCGGGGTGGAGTCATTCCCTGACACTTGAGCTTTCCCAGGTCTGCCCTGAGACTTCCACGCCCGGCCCCACTGTTCTTTTATTCCCAGTATTTTTATTCCCAGGATAACCAGTATTTCCTTCGCCTCACCACCCTCTGAATTAACTTCATGAAATACAGTGATATTAGGTGTCCCTCCTGTTCTTCCCGGAGAACTGACCTTCCCAGTAATGTTTCCTTTGAATCCAGACACATTCCATAGTGCCCAAATGGCTATGGAAAATCCACAGCTTTCCCTTAAGTTACATAATGTCAGTGCAAGCTGCCTTCCTACCACTACCTTCTGGCCTTGCCAGCCAGGAGTTCCCTTTCTCTCTAACCTGCTCTTTAGGCAGTCTGTGGTTTTGATGACCAAGCTTAACAGGAGAGATTATTACCAGGACCTGACACATTGTAGGGTAGGGATGATGACTGTGTAGGAGAGTAAAGGGGGGTCAGTGAGGCTCTCCAAAATTGTAGAGGGTCCTTGAAGTTCTAATCTCTTTTGGTTGAGGAGAGGAAACTCTCTCTTCTCTCTCTCCTCTTGAAGAGATAAACAGTGGAACCATATGCTGTTGCCATGACCACCTCATTCTTTAATTGTGTTATCTCTTAATTTCTACTTCTCCAAATCCTTCAGCATGAATTTCTCCACAAAATCACAGGGTGATCACCCTTCAGAGGAGAGAGGAAGGCCAAACCTAAACTCAGATGTAGGGTGGGATGACAGGACTGGAACCCAGTTCCAAATGTATCAAGTGACTCCAGGCAATTAGACGGATAGGGGGACTAGTCTTTCTCCATGAACATTACCCATTGATAATTCCCACCTTCTCCCTCCCTGTCCTCTTACCATGGTTGAGGGCTGAGAAATGGAACTGAGAAGGAATATATCTGGTCTTCTGGACTGACTCCCCTCCTTCAGCACTCTGGGGAGAAGCTGCCTCCATATGCAAAGGCCTCTCTTTACTCAGTGAAAGGGCATTTGTGCAAGCCATTAAAAGAATTAATGAGTGAGCCCCAACCATGACCTGTACCTATGCCTAAGCCACAGCAGGGGAAATGAGAAATGATTTTCAGTTTCTTTCCAGGAGCCACACGTGTGTTCCATGTGCAACAAGCTGAGATATCACAGACTGCATTAACTGGGGAGTCAATCACCTTGAGTTGCAGCGTACCAGAAACCTTACCAGATGGACCTGTCTTGTGGTTCAAGGGAACAGGGCCAGACCGGAAATTAATCTACAATTTCAAACAAGGTCACTTTCCCAGAGTAAACGAGATTGGAGACACCACCAGGCCTGGCAACACAGACTTTTCCATCCGCATCCACGAAATCTCTCTTGCAGATGCTGGCACCTATTACTGCGTGAAGTTCATAAAAGGGAAACCTATCAAGGAGTACCAATCAGGTCAGGGAACTCAGGTGTTTGTTACTGGTGAGTATGTCTCCTATACCCCATGCCCCCTGGTGTATGAAATCACCTCAGCAGTTATGTCTTCTTTTCATTCAATAATTGCTATATGCCAAATATTATCGAAGATACAACATACATTTGATCTTTTTAATTCTCTCAGCAAGCTATGCATTAGATATTTTACAGGAAGAAAAAACTGAAAAGGGTTGAGTGATGAAAGCTATTTTGGTTGATTTCTCAATATTTAATACACCCTCAATGACTAACCTAAGCCAACTAGGATAATTCCATGTCCCCTGCTAGAGGCTTACTCAAATATGGGGTGAACTTGGCTAGTCTGGGTCTATAAGAGAAAAAGACAGGCTTGCAGAGAAATCTGGGTATCTAAAGTAATTCTTCCCCTTGTTGGCTGGAAACAAGCAATTGTGAATCTCCAGGTGCTTTAGGCAGACATCTTAAGACCGTAAGTGGAACCAAGACAAAAAGAAGTCTACATGAGTGCAGATATGTAACAAGTGTGGGTTGACAATATGCACAACCATACTGCTCCTCTTTCTAACCTCACCTCTGGACTTCCAATAATGTGAAAGAAAACATCTCCTTGCTAAGCCAATTTCCTTAAGTCAACAATGTCCTAAGAGCTACCAGAATGATAAAGGTCACACATTACACAATGTGTTGAATTGCAAGTACAAATCAATGTTTTCTGCATCCAAAGCCTTTTTCTTGGTGTTCTGCTTCTTGTGGTGCCCTAAGAACTTTGAGCAATGTCCAGCCTGAGAAATTATTAAATTGGTGGTACAATAAGGCTAACATTTATTGGGCATCTACTACATTCCAAACACTTTATCTATACTATCTACACAGCAGCATTTGAATTGCTGGATGCTTGTACTCACTGTACAGATGAGGAAACTAGTTCAGGGAGATTCAGGAGTTGGAAATCTACATAGCAGGGAATAGAGAGGTAAGGTTTGTCTGGGCCCAGTCCAGTATGCTCTATATTAGTGAAGAACATTTACTCACAAGAGATAAGATTAAATGAATTAATTTAAACCAAAAATATGAGTTGATTGATTCTGTAGCTACAGAGGATTCTGGATTCCTCACAGTAGTCAAGGCAGAACTTTAGGAACCAGAGATTAAAGAATTGGATTAGGGCTTAGTGTTACCAAGACTGTCACTCATTGAAATTCTCTCAACTCTACATGGCTTTGTTCTTTCCTGCTGCATATAGACCTTCACTATATGGTAGGGAAGATAAATGCAGAAAGTGTTGATATTCATTCCCCATCTTAGCAACCAAGGTGGAAATGGAGCTTCTTCCTACCAACCTTCACAAATGAATTCTAGGGAACTAGCCACATTAGCCTTTCCTATTCCATGTTCTCAACATTTTATTCATTGTTGCTAGGAAGAGGAGGTGCTATAGGAGATAGCAATCAACCCATTGGAACAAATGCTAAGCAGGTTGAAAACACCACACCCTACCTTATCAGATGAGGAGGTTGAGCCTCTGAGAGGTTAATGGGCTTGTCTTCCAGGTTACAGACACTGGAACTCAGAGAGACTCTTCTCAGAATTCTTTGGGTTTATGATTTTGCCTCTTTCTTAATAAGAAGTCTCTAGTTAGAGTGGAGGTGTAGGAATGCATGACAGCTCTTTAGAGAGAGAATACTGGGAGAATACTGCGAAGGAGTTCGATATCCTTATTAACATTCAAATGTTCTGAGTCAGAAATGTACCAAATTTATGCCGTTTCTAAATAAACAATAATATATACATAAATTTTTAAAATACTGAGCTATGTATTAGTTTCTCATAGTTTGTGTAACTAATGGACACAAATTTGCTGGCTTGAAACAACAGAAATAGACCATTATGGGTGACATAACAGCACAAGGAGTTCCAAGGATCCACTCCATGGAAACTGGTGAAAATTATTAAAAAAAATATTTAGACTATCTGGAAAGAGTAGTAAGGGCATATCATAAATGAAAAAGTAATTTTTAAACTACTAAAACTGGGGGGAAAAGTAAAAGTCTGGTATTTGAACCAAACCACCCCTTTTCCCTGTCCAAGTCTATACCCCATGGCAAAGAAGAGGAATCAACTTCACCAAAATAATCCATCCAGTCACTCAACAACTGAGCAAGAAGATGACAATAACAAGCCATGGTGGTTGTGAGGGAGACCAATATCCAGAGTTTCTACAATATATATCCAGGGTTTCAAAAAAAAGTGAGACATGCAATAGAACACAGAAGTATGATACATATAGCAAAAACAAACCAAAACAAAAAGATATCAGAAACTACTTGTTAAGAACACCAGATGTCAAACTTAACAGGCAATGCCTTTGATGTAAC